CAGGGAGCCCGATGCGGGACTCGATCCTGGGACTCCAGGATCATGACCTGAGCCGAAGGCAGTCGCTTAACCGACTGAGCCACCCAGGCGTCCCTCTGATGGTATTTTTAATAACTGAAATGAGAATGCCTGTACTCTCAAAACTGAATATTTTGTGATTCACATTTTCTCTGCGGGGGTCACCTTCTCATGACTGAGCCTATTTTTGATGCACAAAAACATGCACAAAATAGATCCAAACAGATCCCAATTAAAATGCCGAGTTACCATTCTCTTTGAGGGGGACTTAACGCTACATTTTTCTGTGACTGGAAAACAGAGCTTCAACGTTCGAAATGAATGAACTGAAATGTTAAACACCTACCTGATTCAATTTGGGTAAATCCTTTGCGTTCTTTGATTTAGATTTATTTTCTGGAGTCCAGAGTCTCAGATAATTACGATTTTCTTGAGAATTTGCCCTCTTCCCTAAAACCCAAGTGTCAAGAAATAAGTATTCAAAGGTCAAGAAACAAGTGTCCAACCCGCAGTAAGGTAAATACGTGGAGGAGAGCATCCTTACCTCTGTCGGGTTGGAGACTCACTGTAACAAAGCCGTCATCTGCACCGTGCTTCCTTCTGCTATCCAACCCAACCACTGCCAAGAAAGAGAAGAAAAAGATTACAAGGTTATACAACAAACCCACAGATTCAGCATTTGTAATAGAAAATAGAAAAGCCTCTAGGTCAGGTTGCCTTATTCAGCAAAACAAACAAAACAAAACCAAAACCAAAACCCAGTACACGGAGTTAAATTTGAATTTGAAATAAATAACCAATAATGCTTTAGTAGAAGTGAGCCTTAAATAGCACATGGAATATACTCATGCTAAACAAATGATTTTTTTATTTATCTCAAACTTAGCTTTTACTAGGTGTTCCCTATTTTACCCGACAGCCCTATTTCTCGGTAATGGTTTCCCCCAGAATTATTTTTCACAAGTGGGGTTCAGTGTAGAATTAGGAATTAAAGGAACGATGTCATGTAGTCTTCCGTACTTAAAAAATGGTGGTGATGGCCCAATGAATGTCGATTTCCCTACCCTCTCTGTTACATCATCATCTTAACTTTATATACACGAGCCTGGTTTTCTGTCAGGCCCTGCAAAAGATCAAGAACTTTTTAAAAAAGAAATAAAAATCGATGTTGATAAAAGGGAAACCAAAAAATCCTACAAAATTCCTTACATTCATAATCTGGCATTTCAAAGATAGGACTTTCAAGGAAACCACTGATAACTGTTTTCCTTTTTCTTCTTAAAACGGAACATCACAGGGCACATAAGGACTTCAAAAAGGAGAGGTACGTATAACCCCCATTCCCATTCCATTTGTCAGCTCTCAGAATGCATTCCAGCACTTCTTCAATCATCCAAAAGATGGCTGGTTTGCCAGATATGGGACCTTCACTGAATTTAGCATCAGGTTAATCTCAGCAGCTTTTAAGACAGAGCGAGAACAACGTACTATATGTCACCAAGAAGTTCTTCTCCTCTTAATGTTGAAAGTGATTTAGGAAACCAGTAGATATTAAAAAATATTTAATATATGGTAAGTTTGTGCAATAGATATAATACAGCCATTTAAAAACCATGTTTCCAGAGACTGTTTCATGACATAGTAATATGCTCACTGGACTTTAAATGAAAAAAGTAGTCTACAAAACTATAATAGGCAGTTTGATCCCAGGTTTATACATAGACATACATGTTATATGAATAAAAATGACAGAAAATATTTCAAGATACTGTTATCTTTGTATTATAAAATTTTAAGGTTATCTTTAGCTTATTTTATATATTATATTTTTAGAATTTCAACACAAAGCAATAATGATTTTGGAGTTAGAAAAACATTTTTTAAAAAGCAACTTTGATGATTATTAAATGCTCCTGGCATGTGAGCATTGCTGAAGCATTCTGAAACAAGTGGATCCTTTTCTGAAATGAGTGTTTACTAAGAAAGACAGTGCTCACGTTTTGCAGCCAAAATACTATTGCTAACAAAGCTAAGAATATCATAGGACATGCGAAGACACTATGCTAAAAGCCTTCCTACATTATCTGATTAAATCCAATCTACACCCAAGAGGACAACTACCATCTCCATTTTCCACAGAAGGAAATTGAGACTCAGAAATACCAGGACCTCCCTGAGGTCACCGGGGTAACAATATACAGAGCAGCGGAGTAGCATTCTGTCCACAGATCCTACCCTCAACTCGTATTGCCAATAATAAGACTGGATCCGGTTCACCCCTTTCTACTCAATCATAATAACATAGTTTGATAATAAATGGTGACTACACTTATCGTGATGAGCACTGAGTAATGTACAGAATAAATCACATTGTACGGCTGAAACTAATATGACACTGTATGTTAAATATACTCCAATAATAATAATAATAAAAAGCTGGTCTAAACTCTGCTTATTTTGGAATGGCAAATTTAAGAGGCAAAAGGACCCAGGAGCAACCACATCTACTTTTGGACTTGGGTGAAGTCATGAAGCTTCACTGATGATGAATGAGAAGGTCAATAACTCACTGCAGCAGCAAGCTGAGCGACTCTGCTTAAATTCATACAAGACAAACAGGACATGACAATATATAAATTTGGAGATGTATACAATGAGTTGAATCACATCTATGTAGATCTAACAACTACATAAAGCAGAAGTGAGCACATTTTTTTTTTTTTTGTAAAGGGCCAGAGAGTAAATATTTTAGGCTTTGCAGGCCATACTGTCTCTGTCTCAACTACTCAATTCTACCCCTGTAGCATGAAGGTAGCCAGAGGCAATATATAAATGAACAGCTTTAAAACTTTATTTCTAGGCACTGAAGTTTAAATTTCATATCATTTCCCCCTATCATGAATTATTATTCTACTTCTGATTTCTAGAAACCATTTAAAAATGTAAAAACCATTCTTAGTTCACAGGTTGTGCAAACAGACCGTGGGCCACATTTGGCCCACGGGCTGAGGTTTGCGGATGGCCGTTACAGAGCAAAGACAGTAAGAGAACTCTTTCTGGCAGAAATGTCCTGATTCTGGATAGCAGCATAATAACAGGATGATGTCCTTAATGAGGCTGACTATAGCAGGCAGAGTGGAGTAAAATACATAGCTCTTTGGGCCATGTTTTCCCTAAGCCAGGGGGACATGGTGTACATGGTCCCTTCAGTGGGCCAAGTACCCACTCCCCAGGAGTTGGTTGCCCGACTTCAGAAATGTGAAAAGAAAGTAACATATTAGGCTACTGGATTGGTATACTTCTGATTGACTAGCTTTGGAGGCAACTTTTTCCAATGACAGAGGGCTCTGTAGAAAAGAAATACAGTAGCCCTGGCGAGGAAAGTCACTTACCGTGTGTACATTCTGGGGTGATATCTTCAAAGAAGTATTGAGTTGCTTCAAAAGCAGAATCTGGCTCGTCTTGATCAGAGGATGGCTCTAGAGAGAGGAGGAGAGGTAATTCTCATATTGGCGGAGCGGTGACTCAGTGAAAGTGTGCTTTAGTTGTTAAAGAAGTGACAAGGGGGAGGGTGAGAAGCTGAAGTTACAAAGGTGGAGTGGGGCACATCACCGGGGGCCCTGAACGCCTTACGGGGGGCGGGGAGCTCACTCCATTTTTCACTCCATCTTCCTTTTTAACAACCTCACACCACAGTGTCCCTTTACATCTTCCGTTTTTTAAGATTCTCCTAAATTCTGTGAAATGCTGCTTCACAAACCAAATTTTAGGAAACTGTATGCATTAAAGATAAATCTCAAATCTATAGTTCTACCCTATCTCTATCCTTAATGCTAATCCCTCATTTTTTTTTTTTTAAGTATTTGCTAGCTATATCCAAGCTATAGGGCAACCTTTTTAAAACCTGAGCTCAAAACCTCTCCATCTTTCCCACTTGTTCCTGTGTTAAAACGACTCCTTCTAATCTCAAAATCTCAGGTTCCTACCCTCTCTTCTCTTTCACAACCCTTATATCCCATGAGTTACCAAATGCTATTCACTCTCTTGCAGAAGTCTGCTCTTTTCTATTACAACTCATACCTCAGACAGGAAAATGACCACAGAATCAAGCACATACTGATTCAGGAACCTATGTAGGTAATTACTATTCCGTTCATCCTTAGTGACCAGTGAGTGATTCTAAATATCACAGAAAGAGAGATTTCAAACCAGGTCCTGGTATAGATACATGAGCTCCTCTGTGTAGCTCACTTACCGGGCAAGACGTGCATTTTGTATAGGAGTTTGAGTTTCTCTGTGAGGTCCCCGTGGCACGCAGCACCTAGAATCACGTAAGTACCAATGTGAATGTATTGTGTGTGCTACTGACCCCTCTGGGCTTAGCATTCCCTTGAAAAGTCTACTTCTTGCAAATTGAAATCAAGACACTGGGTAACAGGTCTGGCCAGCACATATTTGGGCTAAGAGCTCTGGAACCAGGATGCCGGGTTTCAAATCCTTTGTACTTACTATATGCCCTTCAGAGAGTTAACCTCTCTGTACCTCAGTTTCCCCTATAAGGCCGGATGATAAATAGAAGATTCTACCAGTGGTCTTGACATCAGGATCAAAGTAATGTGTGGATTAAACATGCTAACATGTATAAAACGCTTAGAATAGCGCCTGGCACATATAAAGGTGTTATTATTAAGAAAAAATATTATGACTGGGTCTCAACACTCTAATGGAATTCAGAAATAATCTCAAAATATGTTTGAGATTGCTTCCCATTACTCATTGTAAAAATCCCTTTTAGTTGTTTTGGGGGTCTCCTAAATGTTTCTTCAGTTTAATTCATCCTCATCTACCCACTATATCACCATCACTTCAATCAAAAGAACTCTGTTACTTCTTCCTTTAAAGACCATATGTATTTCAGGAATCAGAAAATCCTCTGTAAATATCTTGCCTCAGAGCACCTACTTGAAGATTAATCAGCTTTGGGAAAAGAGGAATCACAGAATTTGGGTTAGCAGGAACATCAGGGGTTGTCTTGTACAATGTCCCCCTGAATGTAGGCATCTCCCCTCCTCCACAAAAGACAGGAGAGTCTAGCACCTACTGGGACACTTGCAGGGACAGGGAGCTCGTCACCACCAGAGACATTCCATTCCACCAATGTATTCTTTATTTTATTTATTTATTTATTTTTAAGATTTTATTTATTTATTTGAGACAGAGAGAA